GTAAAATTACAACACAAAAAAAGTTATTTTGAGAATGAGAACATCGTTTTTGGAGGTTTATGCGATCCCTATATCGTATTATTTGAAAAAATTGCGTAAAATTACAACAACAAAAAAGTTATTTTTGAGAATGAGAACATCCGTTTTGGCAGGTGATGCGATCCCTATATCGTAATTATTTGAAAAAATGCGTAAAAATTCGAACAACAAAAAAGTTATTTTTAAGAATCGAGAACATTCGTTTTTAGATGTGAGCGATTCTCTATATTGTAATATTTTTGAAAGAAATGCGTAAAATCGAAACAACAAAAAAGTTATTTTTGAAAATGAGAACGGATCGTTTGGAGGTGATGAGATGCTAGGTATATCGTTAAATTATGTGTAATCAGATAACTTGCGTAAAATTACAACAACAAAAAGTATTTTTGAGAATGTGAACATCGTTTTGGATGTGATGAGATGTTTATTTCGTATTATTGAAAGAAATTGCGCTAAAATTCCAACACGCAAAAGTAAATTTTGCGCGAATATGCCAAGGACCCCGTGGCGCCCCCCCCCCCCCGCCCCCCTTCGCATCCACCACCGACATTGCGTCGAGGCGCTGGCGAAAGGGACCGCGCGTTTACGTCCGAAGCGGAGCTGCCGAGGCGCGCGACCATGTGTGCTGGCCTGCTTTTCAAGCGGGCGCGCGCGGGGGAGTCCGTTCCGGCGTGGCGTAAGCGCAAACGGGCGGAGACGATGGCGGCGGAAGACGGCAGGCGGCGTTGCCTTTACCCGCGCCCGGCCCGGCCCGGCCGCCGACCCTGCCGAGCTGTTTGCCCACGATGGAGGCGCGGGCCGAAGGCGGTGGGTCGTTGCCGACGCCTGCCCCGTTGTCGCGCGGCATTATGCGCCGCTCTTGACGACAGGAACGCCCAGCGGAGTTGTTCCGATGTGACAGCGGCCTCTGAGGCGGAAGAGAAGGCAGGTGCGAATGTTTCGTATTAGTGTTCCTGTCAGTCATCTCAGTGGTTTAGAGCGTAGGCTCCGCGGCCGGAGTCAGTATTTACTAGCTGTCCGGGTGACACTCGCGCCCGTGGCAAAGGGTGCAGCGAGTTTCGGTTATTACGCCTGAGGTAACTCGCAGGAGATTATGCGACGCAGAAACGTCGCACGTACGACTCCCATGGACGACCAAGGCGTCACGACCGGACAGCCTAGTAAAGTATATCAGCGCGTTGCACATGTTAACAAACGATACATTTACGTATGACTTGCTTATTAAATTGTTTGTCAGTAAAATAATAATTAATGTTTTTGGCGAGTATCATGTCAAACATGCGTAGTAACGAGTGGAGACAGATGTAATTGATAATCATATGTCGCCCGTTGCGTATTGAAGATCATAAAAATCTTGTATGTATGCCACATTTAAGACACTTCGTAAATCTTAAAACATCACACATTACAAACTACTTTTATTTCATTCTTTAAGCAGTTTTAGCAAGTTTAGTGATTGTCTTTTATCTTGTGTCTAGGTCTTCGGAAAAAAGATGTATGGAGGGTAAGACTTGTTTCCCGAAATGACGAAAAATAACTCTGCGGAAGAATGTTACGACTGTATCCGCCACTTTCCACGAAAGTGTTTAATTGAAAGACCAAATATGATGTGAAAAAACTGTTAAAAAATCATTCACAAGAGTCTGTACTAAAATAAATCCCAAACCGCGTACTTAACACGCTTGTTAGTCACTCAACCAGTGGGGAAGGGAAGGTACAGCAGCTGTGTTTAACTGCAGTTGGTTGAGATCAGCCTTCCGGGTATGCTACCACATGACAGCAGTGAATGAGTATTTATAACTGTGGCAACATCAGCCGCCACGTCACAAATGGCAGCCGAGGGCTCCTCCCATGCGGCGTCTTTGCCGACGGAGAATTGTTTTTCTCGCGTTTCTTATTTCGTTTATGGAATCTGTCTTCCGCTGCCCTATTTCGCCTCGTGGTTCGGGTCAGGGAGTCAAGGGGTCACTTTATCGTCATGATAGATAATGGCTGATTCGTCGTGTCGAAATGAATGAACGAATATGTAAAACTCTAGAAATGTATACTAAACAAGCTCAGTGAATATTCTAGTTCTGAATTGAATTGATATTACGATGATCTCAAATGTAATGTTTCGTTACATATGCAGTAGTAGTACTACTGACATTTTTAACAAAGAAAATATTTATACAATTCCACTGAACCGTTTTAAAAGTACATTTTAATGAAATATAAAAACCAATATTATTTGCATGGTTTTCATGAGAACATTTTGAATTGTAGAGTGAAATTTTATTATAAAAAGAAATATATCAGGTAAATAAAAAGAAAGTAAATGGAATTTAGCAACTACTTGCAGTTTTCTAGACGAGGAGATTTTACTTTTGAGACAAGATGGCAAATTTTCGATATCAGTTACGCAGTTGGGTGGGGCGATGACAATGTCTGCGTGCCATTGCAAGAGGCCGCCTGATCTAATTGGTCGTGGTCCTATCAATGGATGGATAGGAGTGGATTCCGGGGGTGGAGGCCCTTAAACATCAAGTCACACTCAATGCTATTCTTCGCCATTGTGGTCCATTCCTTTCCTTCTGACTGGGACGTCTACTTACTACCTCTATGAACTGGGCTTCGGCCAGATTCCCGCCATAATATAGGATTGTCACCTTTCCGATTTTGAAGGGATCGTCCCGACCTCATTATCAATGTTCCGCGTCATTCCTTGACCATAGTGGGACCACCTATGACCATAGTAGAACCACCTTCGGGATTCATCGGGGTTTGAGACCTAGAAGCGAGAATACATCCTTCAGAAATGATCCTGTGAAGTATGATTGTATTGTCTCTCCTTTCCTGCCTGGTCCTGAGCAGGTTTTAGGAGCACTGCAAGTTATTGTCTACGTAAGTCTATGTATCAAATAATAGAGAATATTCCTATTTTCTCAAGGGGATTAATTTAAAATGTCCATGCTCGGCTCCTCTCCAGCTGCTTAAATTGACTAGAAGCGCGACGGAAACGACAAGCTTTCCCAGACGTCTGATTTTATCTTTCGAAATAAGACACAGCCACATCCAATAATGCTGCGACAAGCGTTGTTCTGTTGAGACCAATTTCACCAACAGAAAATTCTCAGAACTAGCGCTGCAAAAGGCCCTTTTTTTATTTTGAAAAAAAGAATCAGATGAACACAGTATCTTTTTTAAAATATATCTAGATCTTTTAAAAAGATAATTATCTCATCATGACCAAAATTCTTGAATTTCTTGTTTAACAAAATATCATACCCAATTAGCATTATTCATTATCTAGCACTACTAGTTCTTTTTTTCCAAATTGTATGTTTCGCCCTGGAAGTTTTCTTACCAAGCAAGGAACAAAGTAAGTTTTCCAATAAACATTTGTGTTTATTACAGAAAATTTAACACATTATAATATGTGTAGAGGGAAAGCTTGTCGTTTCCGTCGCACTTCTAGCCAATTTAAGCTGCTGGAGAGGAGTCGAGCATGGACATTTTAAATTAATCCCCTTGAGAAAATTGTTCTTGTTTGTATAATATAACAGCAAATGGCTATATGTAAAATTAGCTACAATTTACTGTACATATACAAACTTCTGTGCTTTGAAATAATCTAGTATCTGTCAAAGAATTTCTGAAACCTCGATTCAGAACGCCAGCAGTACTCCTGTGGTAAGATGTCGTTCGAAACGCCAACTAACAACCCCAGTTCAAATAGATAGAACTGTCAAATATTTATTGACAAAGTAATATAATACTTTTCAATGAACTATAAATTACATCGACATTGAAATACATTAAAGTTATGAAAGAGGAGAACATTAGAAGGCGTTGTTGTACAAGAGCACTTGTACTCTTAAAAACGTCTGCGGCCTTGTGTGAGGGGAAGGGGGGCGTGATTTTTCTTTTTTCACCGACATATGTTACATGTTTTGAGAATGAGACCATCGCTTTAAGCGAAAGAAAGCGTGCGAAATGTTTTCGTCAACTCTGACAAAGTTCATGTAGAATTACTCGTCCTTGACACGAATAATTGAAAATTCTGGAACAATTGAAGATACGAGTAGGCAAGGTGATGTACATTTTAATTTGTTTGTAAATACACGCTGTCGAGATAAATTTCCACTCATTGACCTCATGGTCGATTACGATTTCGATTTAAGTTATTTGCTTGTTTTCAAAGACTGTGGAAGAGTGTGTAAATGGGAGACAACCAACCGACCAGGTTATGAACTGATCTGATCTCCATTGTTCCTATTGTAATGTCTTGTAGTATTTTAAGAACGAAGGATTTTATTGCACAGTTTCATTCCTCGAGGTAAAATTCAGTTATGTGTTATAGAAAGACGTAATTGAATTTTAAACTGTTTTATAAAAATGGACAAGGGTAAGTGAGAGTCATACATTTCCATTTCTCTACAGATTTCTGGATAGTTAATTGTGTAGAAATACAAATACGGAGTTTTCGTTGGTTCAATACTGAGTAAATAGTCATTGTAGGATATTGCACATACCCAAGTCTATTAACAATGTGTTCTAAATTTGCTTAATTTTTCTCTAGTTTTACACCACATACTCTCCACAAAACATAAAGAATGGCTACGCTTCCTTCAGCGAAATAGATCAAGCAACAAAAAATGTCATCATCTACTTTTTCGGCGAAGAAAGGTCGATCTACAAAGAGATAAACGGCAAAGAAAAATATAACGCCAAAGAAAAATAATTATACTACAACATTTTGCATTGATTAATTATATGCCTTTCATTTCTTGAGTCTCAATACTTTGTGACTAATCAATTTTCATTTAACGTAAAATGCTTCTTCAATTAATCGTAAGGAAAATGCTGCTCTTCAGCAAAGATTATTCAATTCTTCAGTCTTTTCAGAAGTTCATTCACATTGAATCAGTACGAGTAGCAGCCAGAAGGCAGCGCTATATTATCGGTTGTGACAATGCCTCTTACGCCCACGCTGACAGTCTTCCGGGAAATGGTCGCCAACATCTCTACCGCGAGTGGGAGGGGCGGACAAGTGGATCTCCGCACAGTGACGACTAATTGTGACAAATTCTGCGCCAAACCTTGGTGCTTGGCCGATGTTCAGAAATGTCCCTACGAGCAGGAGCGTAACAAATTCAGTGCGACCTCCCCCCCTCCCCTGATACAAAAGTGTAAAGCTAACACAGTTGGTGTTACTACCTTAAATAATAAAAAGATCCTATACAAGCAGGCCCTCATTTACCCGGGGCCCGACCGCATCGCGGGCCCCAACGTTAAGTTACTGAGGAGAAATTACATTTTTAAATAGTAGAGAACTTTAAAAAGTAGTAGATCTACAAAATTGCCCAGAATTTCTCGTAATATTTGTAATATTGCAAATTATGTACTTCTAATATTTCAGGTTTCGCATTCAAATGTCTCAAATTATGAAACTGCTTGAAACATTATTTGTATTATTTACTATCTTCTAAAACCCACTTTAAAGTAAACAATTGATCTTTTTAAAGCGTAATTATAATGTATTTAGCAATTCTAAATTTACGTTTCTAGACAACATTTATTAGCATTCGTTGGTAGAGCACCAGTACTCGAAAGTTTCTTTAGTTTTCAAAACATTCATCCTCGTATTGTCTAATAAAGCATTTTTCTCAAAATTAGCTAAATCTAATGAAAATGTAGTATATAATATTTAAAGATTTTCTCAATTAACATCGTGGTTTTGTTTTCTTCCCTTTCATACATTTTGAAGCTATTTTTATCAATACTGCATCAAATATTGCCAGTTTCAAAGAAATGTTCCTAAAAGCGGGTGAAGAAAATGCCTTACATTGCGAGAACATTGAAAAAATAGGACAGTTTTTAAGAACCATTAAAAATGCGACAGCAATATTTCGGTTTTTGTAATCATCTTCTCCCCTTTCCATCAACTACAATACTAACTACTCTGTTCCCTGAGGTGAACATTTCATTTGAACTCCTACTCTCGTGAGATATATAAATCTAAGTAGCTACATGTTTTAAGATTTTTTTAATACAATTTTTCATGGGCGTTCCCGGCATGTAAAAATGGGGGCGGGAAATCAAAGAAAGCAATTTAAATGCTTGGACCTCCGCGAAACTTTCGTTTAAGCAACGATTAATTTTTATTCATTTATTGTTCAGTTCAGTTCAAAGTTGACTTTATAACAAGATGCAGGCGATTGGTTAAAAAGGCGTCGGTATGTTGCAGTTATTCGTGAATAATGTACTCTTGACAATAAACTTTGGAAACTATTCGAAAAATAAAGCTGCATTGTATTGATATAGCTATTCTGAATTATCTTAACGCACACTAGGTAGACGCTACTCACCATCCCAGATCGAGGGCAAGTGCGGATCTAGTAAAACGCAAGTAAAACCACTATCGTCCAAATTAATTTTGAGCGCTTAGAGTATGACCACTAACGTCGCGTCACTTAAAAAAATTACTATATTGGGAATATTCACTAAAGCTCAAAATAGAGAGGGGGGTCTGACCCATGTACTCCACCCCATCTCCAAGTTACGCGAATAAACTCAAGAAAAATGAGAAACAAAGGAAATGAATGAACGAAATTGTAGTTACTATTTGAATCACCGCATTCGCATTCAAATCTCTCAAAATATGAAACTTGCTTGAAACATTATTTCTATTATATACTATCTCCTAAAACCCACTTTAAAAGTAAACAATTGATCTTTTTATAGCGTAATTATAATGTACTTAGCAATTCTAAATTTACGTTTCTAGACAACATTTATTAGCAATCGTTGGTAGAGCACCAGTACTAGAAAGTTTCTTTAGTTTTCAAAACCTTCATCCTCGTATTGTCTAATAGACATTTTTTCAAAATCAGCTAAATCTACAGAAAATGTAGTACATAATATTTAAAGATTGCGAAAACAAATATGGTAAATAATTTTGTACTTCGGAAAAAAGTGACATTATTTTCCGAGTTATGCGTCTTCAATGTCATCCCCCTAGCTGGGGTTCCCCTACGAGTCTGAGATCCTACGTTGATTGATTGTATGGTCGCTCGTTCTATATATGCAGCGAATCCCGGGAGGCGGAGTCGTTCCTCCCTCAATAGGACGTGGATACGGCGCTGACATACAAGTCAGCTAGCGAATTTCTCCCTTTTTTGAGGTGCTACGGGCAACTTCACCCTATCAATAATACCAACAAGCAACCATTCCCAATATTTTTCAAGACACAATCGCGTTTTGCAACTAACGACGTCACGGTCATTTTTTTAACTAAACGCGTCGTTTCTTTGATGTAAGAAGTGCGGCCAGCAAACGAAGCAACCAGCAAAGCAGCAAGGATGTTTCACGCACGCTATGTATTGTAAATACTTCATGGAAGATCATTTTAAGTGATCAGAGAAAATATGTGATAATAAAACAAATTTTGTGGTATTATTTTAAACATTGGTTTCTGTGGCAATTGATTCTTTCGTATTATGTCCATAGCGGACCCCAGTTTCGCCCAGGCAAGAAGTCCCGCTGGCGACAGCTCTGGCGAAGTATTCCGCGACGAGGAGGCAAGACGACGTCACCAGGCCCCGCATCTTGCTGAGCCCGCGGAAGCTTAGCAACGCATGGGCGGAGCCCGAAGGCCACGGCTGCGGCTGCGAAGTCCATCTGCGCAGGCGGAGCGCGACCCTTGATGGTACAGCGGCTGCTTCGGCACGCAGCCCATCCCAGCCTAGCCCAGCCCTGCCCCGAGCGCCGCGCCGCGCCGAGCGCTCGCTCATGGACCTCGTTAACGGTAATGAATGCTGCGCGACGTGCAGGCAAACCACTTAAACAAATCAGGCGCTATGACTCGCTGTAATTCCGTTTCACCACTTGGCTCGACCATAAAGGCAGGGTCGAATACTATTCGATGGTCTCCGTGGCTACAATTAAATCACATAAAATTGGGCATAAATCTACGTCGTATTGTCAAAGTCCTTCGTTACTCAAAACAAAAACAAAACAAAAAAAACAACAAAAAAGACTTTTGTATCCATTAAATTTCGTTAATGTCAAGTATGACTTGTAATTTCTGCAGAAGGTATTCAATTAACAACACTTAAAGTTTCTTTAACAATGAAACAAAATGATTATATTTTAATAAGCTGGTCCTCAATTGTTTCTAGTTTCAATCCTTAATTCTTTACGTATCACATTCCTTATTTTTTTACAAGACGTTGACGTTCCCTCAATTTAAAAAAAATATATATTTTTTCGTCAGTACGCCATGTTTAATACGTCAAAAGGGAAAGATGTTTCGCCCAGTTCGATAAACTTATTTTTTATTTCGTCGTGGGTAGAAAACTTCTATCGTCAAATTAATGTTATAAAAATATGATAATCAGTTTATGTAATAAAAAGTAACTCATTCAGTTTCTTCTCTTTCCTCATTTCATTAATGCTTCTGTGGGTACGTGCAACACAATTTAAGAACCACTAATTTCAAAGTAAAACGTGCAGTCTATTTTTTAATGAATATGAAAGTAGTTAATGACAATATTAATGATATTTCTAATTCATCATCTGAAGTTACATTTATTGCTTTTATTTAATATTTTAAAACTTCGTGATAAAGACAATTTTCAAATTTTAATATACTATTTCTCTTCCTGACCCTCCCTTACTTTCTTGTATTACTTCTTCTCCCTCTCTCTTCAACACCCATGCACTCACACATACACATACCCGTTTCTCAGTCAGCACGATATTTTATATATTGATTACGAAAGTGAAATATCAAAAATATTACTTCATTGGATATACCGATGTGAATTTAAAAATGTTAAATTAGGTTTTTGGCATTCAAGATTTGCAAGAAAACAAATTTGTCAGTGAATGCATACGTCGCCATTTCATGTTTCATCTCTAGAAAGGGAAAACATTTTCATTTGAACGTAAATTTTATTCTAGACAACGTCCAGCCCATGAACTTCTCGCTGAAACACGCCCCTAAAATAACAGGTGGATTTCGTTAGAGCAACATGTACACGAAAGGATTTGATGTTACAGAATATCCAAAGTAGCAGTTACAACATATCCAAATTGAAAAAAAAAAAGAAAAAAAATAGGGCGGGCGTAATATTGAAAACATACATACAATTACCAATCGTTAATCGTTAATCGTGAAAGATTTAGTGAAGATATACATCGTATCGAATTTTCTGTTTCAGGGTACTTCAAGAAGGAACCTTCCTCTTTGTTTCAGAATGAATGAAAAACAGAAAATGAAGTAAATCGAATGAGTAACCATATCTCAGGTGAATAGCGGTGGCTGACGTTCCAATTCCGTAGCCACTTACCGCGATCGGTGTGGACGAATTCAAACAGGAAGCAAGAGAAGCGCCCCACGATCCCGCAGACCACCCGCTCTGCAGGCGCCGACGGCGGCAGCGGCTGGCAAAGGCAGACTCGGGCGGAGGGCTGGCGGAGGCAGAATGATCAGCGCTTGCCCGGCTCCAGCTCCAGCCAGCCAGTGGAGCGCCTTCTTTCTTCTTGTTTCTTCTCCTCCCACTGGAACCGCGCCCCGCCCCGACACTCCCGGCGGCCCGCGCGACCGCCACGACCCACGCACTCACACCAACGCAGCGGCGGCGGCGGCGCGCTGTGTGTGTGTGTGTCTGTGTGTGAGAGCCGAGAGCCAGCCAGTGGGTTGGCCGCGCCCAGTCGCCGCCTCCGCCGCCGCCGCCGCCTACGCGTCCAGGCCCGCCCTCCGGCGCTGCCACGTCGTAACCACAAGCACATCCCGACCAGGAGACTCCCACAGCCCAACCTCAGTACCATACACTCTTGTTCCTTCATTGCCCATACGTATGTTTTACTCCAACGGAGACCAGGAGACAGAAACCCTGGACCGAACTGCCTCTTAGTCCAAACTGAGTTCCTGTATTTACTTCCTCATTTATGTATGTATTTTCAGTAATTCAGTAATTAAACATAGTGTAAAGAGTCATGTAATGCTACAGCGAAAAATGTAGTTTATTTTCGACAGAAAAACTCATTTTCTGACTTCATCACAAAACAAAACAAAAAAAACAAAAAAAACAAAAAAAACAAAAAAAATTCATGAAGCATCCAATCCATGCAGACATCTCGATTTTCGGGTACAACAACTCCTCTCCATCTTCACCAATATTATTCATCTTTGAAAGAGGGCAAATATAACTTTATCCTGTTGTGTATGCAGAAACACAGCTCAAAACAACCGTTAAAATTGATTTTACGAAATTACGATTAATTGACCGAAAATTTGCGATCGTATTGTTGAAATGATTCCAATACTTCCCCTCCCTTCAGACTAGAACCACTGTTCCTACCGTCCTTTGATAGATACAAAGAGAACATTTAAAGAAAAAAATTGAAACAAGTTTTGAGGAAATATCGCTTACAATTGTTTCGAAATTGCCTATTTTTTACCCATAATTTTCAAAAATGTTATTACATTCACAAATTGCAACCAAATCTCAAGAAAATCAGAATGTTTTACGTTGAGAAATTTATAATATTGATACGAATTCTGATTGCTGTATTGTGACATCATTTTCCTTCGCAAGCAGTTTTAGCTTACTAGATACTAGAGTCCTGCTTAAACTTTCAGACCGCCTTCTTCTGGAAATCTGATAATGTCGTGTTCCTCGTTTGCAACTTCGCTAACTGTTAATCCCGAAGACAAGGGTTTAAATACTCCGATGTTGGTGTTGTAATCTACTTTCCAAGCATTTGTTTCATATGTGGATTTCTTCAGAATGATCATTTTAGTAAAGAAAAAGCTCTTCAGAAATTTTGAACTGGAAATGAGGAGGTTTGATTCTTTTTTGTAGTTTCATGCGCTTACTTCGTAAGAAGATAAAGTTTTGTAATCGTGCCACGGAAACCGGCGAATGTTCAGAAGAAAAATTCTTATTGCTGGGGCATGGTGAGAGGTAGTCCATAAATTACGTAACGCTGAATAGGAGGGGGGGGGAAGGGGGGAGTTTGAGTCAGCGTTATGCTGCGTTACATAGGGGTAGGTGGGTCATAGTTTAGTGTTACGTGATGCTGATATTTATTTTTAAACACTTTCAACATTTGCTGAAAAAATTCCTTGTATTCAATCATATACTAAAACAACACAATATTAACAAATTAAATTAAAAATATAATAAATCAAAGACGTCATATACTAGAAATTGTTACAATAAATGAAAATATTTTTCATCAATGACATAGTGATTGAATCTTTTAGATTACGAAGAAAATATTCAAAACTGGTTTATAGCATATTCTAGAATCCAATTTAGTTGGCGCACTCGACTCGGGGCCTATGCGTCATCCACGACGCAATGTGCACGGCATGTCAGATATTTTCTCGTCTAAGTGTCCTTCTTTCATTAAAAAAGAAAGTGTCCCCAAACTTATTGTTATGCGCAGATCGCACCACCAACTAATTCTCACGTTAATTATAATAAATTTTAATGTATAAAATAAATACAATTAATACAACTTGTTTCTGCTTGATACTTGAGTTTCACTTATTGGAATGGGGGTGGGGGTCACAAACGTTATATAATAATAGAACGGGTTCAAGCGCACGTTACAGGTGCGTTACAGGGGGGGGGGAATGTATTCAAAATACTCCAAATTTGCTGAACGTAATTTATGGACGGCCCCTAACAAGGAAGTGGTTAAATTATTTTCCAACATACAGTAAAATATCCATACAGTCCGTCTATGGTCAACGCATAAACCGTTCCGCCGATTTACTCTAAAATTGATATTGCCCGATCGACCTGAACAAATATAAGGCTTTGGGAGTTTCAACCGGATATTTTAATTTTCGTGGGTACTTAACATGAAGTCTCAAAACCATTTTCACAATTTTATCATAAACTTTTTTTTTTTTATATATATACTAAACTTTGTTCATGGGTAATATAAAGAACGCTTAAGAGAATATTGCAGATCTCATGTTCGTTAATATCCGTTTTTCAAAAATTGGAAAAGTAAAATGTTACTTTCTAGAACTAGAATATTAAAGATATTTAATCTTATACGAAATGAAATCTGTTCCTTGAAAACAAATCTTGAGATGAGATCGTGTTCGATTTTTCGAAAATGTGACTAATTTTTGCGTAATTTTCCGCGAAATAGGTCCTGTAGACAATTTTTAAAATTGGTATACATTTTTTTTCTCTAAAAGGAACTAAATTTTTTTCTTTGAATTTTTTTCTCGTATGTATCAAGGGACTCTTGAAATAAAGTTCTTGGCCCCGTTTTCGGCGAACACTGTTTTCAAAAATTGCAAAAGTGACATTTTATTAGTGCGTCTTCCTAAATTTATAATATTGAAGAAGGAGATTTTTTCCTTAATGAAGTCTGTTCTCTAAAGACAGATCTTGAAACAGAGTTTTGTTCAATGCTTTGAAAATATGAGTAGTTTTCATGAGTTTTTGCGCAAAATAAAGGCAATTTTCAAATTAAAACGTTTTTACTTTCTCGTGTACGTACGTATATACGTATTAATCTACGTAGTATAGAGAAAATTATTTCAAACGTCTAAACCATGCGCAGGATTTTTTTCCAAATTGAAGAAACCCGTGACGATCTAGCTTGAGTCAAAGCTTTGCGATTTTGAAAATAAGTATTATTATTATTACTACTAATAATAATAGTAATAATAATAATAATTATTATTATTATTATTATTATTAATTATGTGCACTGCAGTGGCGTTGTGAAACTGATGGAAAAGAATGTGTAAGAAAGATTACAGCTCGGTGTTTCGCAGTGCGGTGAAGTGAAGTGTGGGGAAGTGGAGTGCTATGAAAGATTGCACGGTGAAATGTTCACGTTAATTTGTAAAGTTTGTATATTTTGTAAAGGTGTTAAGTTCTGTAATGTTAAGTTGGTGTATTCTGCCACTAAGTTTTCAAACTTAATTGCAGAATTATTAATGAAAATAATTCTAAAAACATTCATTAACTTTTCGAGGTACTGTACTTGGAACATTTTCAAAATTTTCTCAAAAATGGCTCCAATTTTTTCTGTAAATTTCTTGTAATAGAATGTGATATACACTAATGAAGGTGGAATAGGTCTGTTTTTCACAGTTAACTCAGAATTTTCGAAAATTCTAAAAGTATGATTTTTTCGGCAAACTTCTACAACTACAAAATTAAAAATTGAGATTTTCCTCCAAAAGAAATTTGTTGTCCATAATTTGTTATTTCATTCGGGCCATGCACATTTTCTTGAAAAGTTTAGTAGTTTTCGCGCAATATTAAGTGTAATACGTGCAATTTTAAAAAAATATCAAAAACAATATTTTTTCGAAAATGGCTTCAATTCTTTTTTTTTTAAACTTTCGGTAGTGGTGGTGTTAAATGTACTCTATAAGATGACATTAATTTTTTACTTGTTTCTCATGTCGGTAATATTTACATCAGCGGCGATTTGTTCACATTATTGTACTTATGCGTACATGTGTTTTAAATAATATGCTATAAAGTTTCTCGAAAAATCAACAGTGAAAATGAGCTCAAATTTTCAGAAACGTTCAAACGCCAATTTTTCAAAACCCGCTCCAAATCTTCCCGTTCTTTCTTCAAATTTTTCGAACTGATAGTGTTAATTGCACTTTTATCTGATGCCAAAAAATTAATTTTGCAGTATTATTTTGTTTTTTCAAAAATTACAGAAATGCAATTTTTGAAATATCTCTCACGCCGTTAATATGCGTATTTCCAGCGATATGTATACATTATTTCATTTTTAAGTGAAAGTGCTTCAATGAATAAAGTCAAGTTCAAGTGCTTCAAGTGCGAAAACATAAAATATTCCTGTGAAAAAAGGCTTCAAATTTCGCATTTACAGTAACGCTTAAACGACTTTTTTTAGAGGCTGCAGATGTTTCAAAGAAAATTTTCTTAAGGGACGAGATTTTACTCTTCTTTAATATCCTTTTTTAATATATCGGGTCTACCATTAGGAAACTGAAAAATTGATAAAGTTTTTAAAAAAATGTAATTTGATCGGCGAGAGGATGGCCAAGACCGTAAAGCTAGCCCACGCCAAATAAATTCGAAAACTTTACTACGAGAAAGTATGTGCCATCCTGAAGCACCACTAGTTTCCTCTAAAAGGTCACAAACATTTTTTTTTTTAATTTGTTGACTTTCATGAAGAATGGTAGATCCAGTTGTGTCGAGAAAAAAGTCTTCGAGAAAATTGAGTCTAAATGTTTCTTCCAGGGCAAAAATTGAAACCAGGCGTCACGTCACATCGGCGCTGCATCTGCCAACGGGGCTAGACGTAGCGTCGTTTCTTTGTCTTTTTTTTTCTTTTCTTTTTTTCTTTTTTCTTTCGGTGAAACTGTCCAGTGAGGTAAACATCGCGTGCTGCGCCTTTGAATACTTTAATGGCATCATGTGTTTTAAGTGTTCATTTGCTGGCAAATTTTCGGAAACGATCCCAAGGCACACAGAGACTTCCTCAGTTTGGGATACGTCGGTACTTTCATCTAAAAGTTTTGATCTTCTCTTATTTCTTCCATTATTTCAGTCAAGATTGTAGTGGCCATCAGCTCGAGAATTCCATTTAGAGAATCGCAATGGAGCCTCTCCAACCTCCATTTCAATTCCACGTCTTCTGTTCGCGCCTTTGAGAACGTCATGAAGTTGGAATTCTCGTCGCTGTTGGGCCCTGCGAATCGGGGAGACACTGACTCGCCAGTGCTCTGGACGCACTGAAGATTTTCAGCTACGCCGATCTGTTATTCGTATCCAACGTTTGCTTAAAGCGAACCGTCGAAATGGATTTACAACGTTAATAATTTGGCTTCGGTACATTAAATGTGAAGAGAACCCGTTGCGTGAGTGTTTATCCGCTCTGCTGCATGCTTCCTGTTCAAAACTCCGTCGTCAACCCAGACATGCTTCGAATAGATGGCACGCACGTCGAACTTGTTTAATTTTCGCCCGCACGTTTTGCTGCAAATAGTGCAAATGTTATTATTGATTCTGTTGAGTTGCAACCACGGATTATGCTGTTTCCGGATTTTACAAATTGCGGGTACCGAAGAGCCTTTTACAGCTCTAAAACAGAAAACATACATATGACGCCTATTTCCTAAACGTTGTTTTTGGTCCTCAATAGAACAATATTCTGCAATAACAAAAATACATGTAATCAGGGGCGTGTCATGACTTGTCCTTAGGATAGCAATAGAATAGTGTAAAGATTTAATAATTTCAGAATTATCTTAAGAATACCACTTTGAGCAGACAATTCACACAATATTGTAGGCTCATTAACTGAAAGAATATCACCATATAGCTATTACATAATATCTATCAATTTCTTAACTTTCATTCTTGTAAACATCAGTTACTTATTTGAAGAGAAGTGCGATTCTTCTCCCATGTTTCGTGAAGTCATCAATAACTTGCTCATAAAAATCTGTTCTGTTGCACAGTTCTTTTATGAACGAACACACTTTCTTGCATCATTAGGAATGCTTACGTAATACTATTTATTGCAATTTCTGCACTCCCTTCAGCCATCATTTGAAAGCAGACCCGGAGGATAATGTATTTGTGGTGGGTTGCTACACCCACTGAAAATATTCCGAGTGGGTAAAATGCCCTCTGAAGAAGGCGAGAGAAATATTCCATAAATGAAATGTCTCATATTGAAATGCCCAATTCCGTAAACGCTAACTTTACTTTTTATACACTGGAATTTAACGACATGCATATAGGGATAACTGAGGTTATCCTGATAATGATGGTTTTTAAGTACTTAAATATTAAAGAAATCTTTTTTGCATGATATATCGTTTGACACTAGTCGTTAAATAATTAAGCAAAATAAAATAAAGTATATTTTGTAGCGACCTGAGAACGCGCTAGCGTTTGCATTATCGCATGATGCGAATATCTTGAAGTTATTTCACTGAACGATGCTTTGTATGCAGTGGTCCCATGAAACCCTTTTGAAGCCTGTCGTTAGGCCCGCGCCTTCGTCTTTTCTTCAGTTTATTGCGAGACTTATACAAGACAACTCCGTATTCTTACGTCACATTACTTGAAATCTTCAAGAAAGTATTGCACAAATATTTAACGATGTGTAACAAATATTTAACTTTTCCCAGGAGAATTTTTGAAATAAATTCTCCTATTGCCGGACTCTGGTAACGAAAAAGTGGACGAATCCAGCTGCTAAATACATATTTTAAAAAATTCATCTAAAACGAGGTAAAGCCAGAATCCATGTTTTGTGCGTTTACGCTGGCGCATAAACCGTTTAGTCGATTTTATCCAAAATTGATACTCCCCAATCGTTTTGGCTGATGTCACGGCCCCTGGAACTTGAAACCGATATTTTAATGTTGGGGAGTACTTTACAACAACCCCCTCGTTACGTTGCGCGCCACCGGCCATCCTGGCCCAATGTAGTCCGTGGGCGGCGTCACAAATATTTATTTTTATGTTCTCCGCTACTCTGACGCAACGGTACTGGAGTATGTACGATGGAATGGCTAGGTGAGTAAGAAGTACACAACTCTTTTTGTAGACAAAGCCTTTAATAAGATAGAAAATTACAGTAAAGTGCATTTTTTTCTACTTACCAATCTCAAATTTGTAATCTCGGCAAATCGTCGCCGTCCTAACACAATATCAATTTTTTTCGTTACATATTTTTACATATTCAGTACTATATTACATATTTTGGTATTTTCAATAAAATATTTATCTATTTTATAAATTTTCTGGAATTTTATTATGTTTATTAAAAAAAGAAGTATTCCCCCCCAAAAATTAGCATTTTCCCCTCTACTATTACTGCGTGATGTCTACTCCAGGTACTCTAAATTAAGACGCGTGATGTTCTCACAGTCCGGCACACCTGTCTCAGTTATCTCAGTGGCGGGAAGTGCGCGTCAGCGACTGAGATCATTTTCACCATTTAGTGTGAAAAGTATCGCTGGCGCCGTTGATCGTGACCTCAGACCTAAATATACGAAGAAACATTGGCGATCGCCGATGTTTAACATCCAATGAGAGTTCTTCATGCTACAGTGATTGTTTGCTGGTCGTAGATATCGCCAGTTTGTACGACGAATGATGTTAATACGTATATTGATTGCGTCTAGTCAGACTGTAAAATTGAGGACTTGGATAGCTATAGATGAAATTTCTGCTACTGACTGAAAAGTTGTATGGTGCAAAGTGTTGTATTGTTTTTAAAATTTGTTTAGGAAACTTTTTATAAATGTAATTTAGAATTATGTAAATGTGTTTTAAAATTAGTGATTTTAATATTACACATTTAATACAATTTTACATATTTATTACACATTCTTACTGATTTCATTACATATTTTTCCACTCTCTGCTTATGAATTGACTACGGAAAACAATACTTGACGGACAAGTTGACAACGAACTATAAAAGTTTTGCGTGTGCAATATCTTATGAGACACGTGAGGCAGTAGAAATGAGATGCACGTCTTAAATACATAGTATATTTAAGTATAGCTATGAGCTCAATTACACATTACACCCTCGGATACTTTAAAAAAATGGCATCAAATTTTTTGATTAAACTTTATCCTCGGATAGGATAAGGGATGCTTATGATGACGGTCTTATTTTCATTGAAATCACTGATTTTTCGAAAATTACAAAAATTCAACATTTTTTCGTCGTCTTCCTACAACTATATGTTTTTTCTTCCTTTTTTTCGCTTATAGACCAACTCGGATCACGCCTGCATTCTGCTTCAGCAGGTTCAAGTATCTTTCTGAGGGAGAATCAGCATTTTGGGAGACTCCCGATTTTTATTCCCCAAGATTGTTAGCCCTAGGGGTAAGGACGATGAGATGAAGATGTTGATAGTGAGGGATAAAAGGACGGCACACACAAATACACCCATGACCGAGGCGGGACTACATCCCGCGGTCCAAGACCGCTACGGCACTACTGCCGTAACGATCTCGGCCATTTGACCGGCCTTACAAATATATCGAAGAATTTTTTTTTCCTACATGAAATCTGTTCCTCAAAAACAGATCTTGGAATAAGGTAATGTTCACCTTTTACCAAAGAAATCATCTATAGACATAATTTAGAAACTGAAGTGCAGAAAATTGATGGAAATCAGTTCTAGGAACTACTTTTATTAAGTAATGTTCTATTAAATACTGAACTTGTCCCCTTTTGTAAATTTTGTATCTATCTTGTTTATGTATGAAGCGTTTTATGTTTTACTGATAATGGATATTGTATTCTCACTAATCATCTCCTGCAGAGCTCTGCAACCTCTCCACCCCCATAAATATTTTTGAAGTAAAAATCTTGAAATAAAAAAAAAAGTTTATTGATAATGGTAGTATATCTTGGATGTGATCCAATCAATTCATGATACCAATTGCTTTGAATAAATTAATATAATTACAATTAAACATGGATTATGGATGTTTCTGCATAGATGTGCATCATTGCTCATAACCAGAAGTTAGCTGGAATCTCCACTTCTCTATGTCATGTATATGTATAATGTACTCTATTGAGAAGTTACTAGATAGTAACTTCATATTCAAGATTTTCTGAAATACAACCCCAAATTTAAAAAAATTATGTGTACAGATGGTGAACTAAACACAAAATCTCATGACATGGCATGACATCATGCTCTTTGGATTAAAAATTTTGATAATTATACATAAGTAATTTTTTATATCTAATTGAACTGAAAATTCATCTGTAATGATTTTTATAATACAATTCAATGGTTCGATTTACCTCTACACTATAAACTTTGGGAAATCACAAAAGTGATCAAGGGTAAATTAACTCAAAATTAATCATTTCCAGAAACACAAAATGTTCTCAAAATGTCTCCCCTGAAGAAATTCTATAATAAAAGATTTTGCTCTTCCAAATCTAATTTCAATTAAACTATTAGTGGAATAAAAAACTGAGAAAACTTGTACATTTATAGACAAGTTTTTTTATTTTTTTATTACAATAAATTCTATTTTGTCTTTAAAGAAAAGGAAATCTCTGAATACTCATGTATGTTTGCATCAGGATTTTCAAAAAGCACTTCTTTCCAGGTAGGAGATTCTCTTCATCCTACACAAATGTTCACTATAAGAGAATGCAGGATATCACTCCAAACATGGTTTAAGGAGAAATGTAGAAACACTGAGCCTGTAGTCAAATATGATCAGTTCATGTGGCATCCAAGCAAAGTATTAATTACAAATTCACACTTGCCACGAATAAGTATCTCCCTTTGATTTATATACCTACTTGAGGATATGCTATGAGACAATACAGTGTTGGTTTTATAAATGAGAAAAGTAGTTTGAAATGTAATGACATGCTTAATCAGATTTTATGGTCACATATTAATTAAAAATAAATTCATGAAGAGCCTACCTAATTTTTGGGGTAAATTACCCTACATCTACTTCCTGCCAATTAATACAAATGTCTCAAACTTGCATACACATGCAAGAACTCTCATTTGTCTCACTATCTTCCATCATTTCATTTTCATATTAAGCCTACAATATATCTTTTTCTCCAAGACACACTTATCCTCTGCCACTTGTTCTGTACAACTCCTTGTAATTCTTCTGAGCATATTTTAACATAATTCAACAAACCCTTGTCAATTAAAAGGTGGGGATGAATTGTGAAGCACTATACCAGCAAAAACGCAATACAAGGTTCAACAAGATCCTATCATGTAGATTACAGTGTAAGGAACATTTCTTTGAGGCAATGGGCCTCAAAATTTATGGTTTTAAGATTCTAAAATGCTTCATTTTGTAGTTATATAACTATATAATTTTAACAATGCTGGCCAAGTGATGCAGGACAAATGTTCCACTGTGTTTCTTTCAAGTCCTTCATATTTTAAAAGTGCAATTAGTCAAGTCTCTGTTATATTTCTTTTCTTTGGTGACCTCTTTATAAAGATTGGTGGCATGTTAGAGCAACAAAATTTGTCTATAATACTGAAATAATATAGGAGAGGATAATATTGTAGTTTGGTCCTCCAAACCATGTTCACAAAATTTAGCTTTCTTTCAACACTTCATTCCACCCTACTGCAACAATTTTGAACATTTGCAGGGTCACTCACCCCCACCAAGTTATTTCATTAAAAACTAGATGAAATTTCATATCATTTTAAAATAATTTTTGAAGTTTGATCACAAGATACATTTTTATTAATGAAAACCTTTATTTTTCAAAACAGTCCCAAAAGAAAGGAAGCTCATGAGATTTGTGCTGCAAACCCCAGTCTTCATTGAAGGATTTATCATTCCATTGGTGATTTTGTGTGATTCTTTGGCTACTTTAGTTTTGTACCTCTCCCTCATACAGGGAACGGGAGAAAGGGAGTGGTTGGAGTGACTGTTTAATTAGGAGAGACAAAGAATTTCTGTAGGGTTCCTGAACAATAGTCATAAATGGAGAGAGAAGCTTAGGTAAGGGGAAGGGAGCAATATATTGATTTTAAAGAGCCCACACAATACAAAAATGCTTTTACATACGCTCAATAAAATACCTAGAGCTCGCACCCACAATAATAAAACATTAATTCTATAACTCTACATTATTACAAAATGCACATCTAAATATAACAACACACTTGCAATAATCTAGATATTTGAACTTGTCAACCTCTTCTACAAGTTCTATGAAAACATGAAAAATAACCATGAAAGAAAAGCACATTATTAGGATATAAAAACTATGTTGTTTATTGGAATACTTTTTATTAACTATTTCAGGCACGTTAAATTACAATTGTGTTGATGTAGATACATAAGGGCAAATAGTCCATGCAGCAGTCAATAAATTATCACATTATGAAAAAAGGAATTGCAATGATTATTAAATTGAACATATACAACTCTAATAAAGGATAATTCATTTCTATTACGATTTGAAAATTTGTTCTTTTTCTTGAACAGAATAAAAACTAGTCACAAAATGCAAGCGTAGCTCCTAGCTAACGAAAATTATTGAAACTACATATGTCCTTTTTGCATTGGTGTACTTGAGTTACGACAAAAAGTTGCAATGTTTCAAAACAACAACATTGTATAAATCTTGTTTTATGTGCTTAATAGCTTGTTACGGAGCACACTAATGCTTCAGTTCTAAAATTGCATGATGCAACTGGAGGACATATTGTTGCCAAACTAAACAAACTGAATATTCGTCAAAGCATTTGAGTTAGTGGTTAAGAGTATTGCTCAAGGCAACAGCTATGTACCCCAATCTATGCACACCAACGATTAAATGAATATATGCCTTATCACAGAAATTAATGAAATTACAGTCTATAAGGAGATCCTGTCTGCATGAATGCATATCAAGTAGTTGTCAGTTGTCCATGTCGTATTTTCGAAAGATGCTTAAAAAAAAAGGCATCTTTAGAAGGTAATGTGAGTATTCAGTTGCAGTGTTCTCAGAAAGTTCACAGGGCACTTGAGAACAAGATGCTTTCTTCAATGTGTTCCATGTTGAGTAATTCTCATGAATTAACTCAAAAAGCCCAAGTAACAGAGCCATAGCACAAATGTACAGCACAGCTACTTCCAAATGAAAATAGATGAGTAGTTTAAGCTTGCCTTAACAGAGTATACTCCTTTACCCTTTTATTAAGTACATTTTCAAGTTGTACTTCAGAACCCAGCCAGCCAGTCACTCATCCATTAATATTGGAAGGGCACAATGTTTCACAGAAATTGTGAGGGCCACCCACAATTGAATTGTTCAGAATTACCACCCCTAGAATTCAAATCTCAACCCATATTGCTAATGCAAAGTTATACCAGTATATCATGTACACAATGTTATTTCCATATATACAGAGTAATTACTTTAATCTTGAGCACAACAGTAATAGTCAATAAAACTCAAAGAAGCACAGCTTACTTGAACACATCAGTGATAACGCATTCTGTACCTCCAGGGCAGAAGAACGCAAGTTGTTTCTTCTAGTAATGCTATTTCACCTTCATGCTATACGGAACTTCGAACTTGAATGCACAAAGGTGATATAAATCCTTTTTCTTGACAGCCATTTTTATACACAGTTAAGTTGCAAGCTCTACCAGCAGGTTGCACCTTCCTTTGATGGAAAATTTTACTGACTGGAAAAAGCACTTTTGCCAAACTTTCGAACAGTATATGATAATTCTGTCATAGGCCTATCGTTTCCCATGTGGACATTTTGCATTTGCACTGCACACTAATATTAAGTGTCTGATATGAGTTGCACTAGACAGTCTCAGAATAAAGGAATGAGGCACAGAACCAGTAAGCTTGAAAAAGCACAATTCAAATATAATTTTAACAGAATTCTTACCCATCAACTCATAATTGATGATATACCAATATAACCAATTTTTTACAGTTGGTATTTTTATTATGTAGCAACAAAGAATTTTTTTTAAAAAATCCTCACAAACCTGTAGACAAATTAGTCTTTTAGTCAAATTAGTAAGCGGTCGTATAAAACGTCAAAGAAGAGGATAACATGAATAAGGCCCCACTAGTAGTTAATTAACCCAAATAAAACAAACAAAATTTGTAGGATTCATGCTTCCATTTTTTTAGACAGCATTTGTCACAATGATAAATTGAGCTCATGGTATTGGTTCTAGCACCTGATTTGTTAATATAATTAGTGTCCTTGCTAAATAATCACACACAAACTTACAAGCAGGGGAAAAACTGTTAATTAAGAACACCAACACATTTTCGTACCAAATGCACAAGTCACCTGTATAACACAGACAACTGACCTACATGTGGTTATCACATACTATGTAAAACACTAGAGCACAGCTGTAGGACTTAAGCAAATTCTGCCTGTCCTCTGTAGTCATTACTGCAAAGATTATCTTGAAACTGTAACTCACTTGTTTTGAAAACCAATCCATGAACTTCAACTTCCAAATTTACACAACTTAATTTACAAACTGCAGTCAATTGCAAGTGAAACAGGATAGAACAAAGGATTGTGCAAGGAGTAGGAAGGGGAAGAATGGCTACTCATCAGCTCAAACATACCAACATTCATTTCCTAATTGAAAACAATCTTACACTGCAATACCAAAACAATGATGTTCTTCATGTATTGACTAGAGGAAAGTTGTACATTCTATTTTCCTCAAGGAATGAAGATTATAACGACTTTAGAAAAAAAGACAATACATTTCCAAATTGTTACATTTAAATTTCCTAAAATGAGCATACAGAAATAAACTTAAAAGGGAAGCATTTATTAAGTTATTATCACAGGGAAATAGTAAACAATATTGATGACAGCAAGAAGGGGGGCTTGGAGGAAACTTGTGTTCCAAATAACACTCATGATCCATTCTTAGGCAAAATCAAGACACAGAATGTCTAATAAAAAGATCCATCACAACTTGCAAGACACTGAAATACATAACTCAGCAAAACAAACTAATCTTATTTCTGATTATTTGTTCCACTCTATTACTCCTTGCACAAAACAAATGTTTGTTGTTTTTTTTGTTATGCATTTTTCCAAGTCTTCAATACTTTCAACACCACACAATGTCCATTCACTAATCACAACACAGCACAACTTAAAAAAAATATATATAAAAAAAACGCAGCCACCTACAACCTCGTGGTAATAATAAGTTAATGATCACATATGCCAATTCATCTAACAACATTCCAAAGATGATTCAGCATTTTGCACAGTGAGAGGTTTCTATCTCCTCCCCCCAAACAAGCAAAACATTCACTGCTTGAAGTTGCAGTTCATTGGGAGAAACTGATTACTGAACTGTCCTTAATATGAAAAATCATTCAAGTAAACAGAAATTAATCAAGACTAACCACACTTCCCATTTCCTTTTCATGCCAATATTAAAATGAAAAGAAAAACAGCACCAACATTCAAAATATTTTCGTGAATGTGCTAGCATCACCTACCAACAGCTTTCTGTCCATAGCTACTTAAAAAGAACGTGGTTACGGCTTCCTTTTCTCCTATTGGCTATTGCATGCCTTCCCCTTTAAATTTAAGTATCACTTGTCCACAAACAAAACAGTTCCTGTCAATTCTCTACCACATAAATTCGCTTGTGGTATATAGAATACAACAGTTCAGACAGTAAATTCCATCTTAATTTTAAAGGGGAATGTAGACTACAGATAAAGGGAACCCGTTTATTTCGTCAGTCAAAGTCTTGAGTTGCAGTATACTGGTTCATGGTGACAGTAACAAATGGCAAATTGCGCGCAATTTCAATCTTTACTCGTAAACATGTTGGTTTTCATGATAAATCAACTGTGTTCAATCAAGTGGTGATTATTAATAAAGTTCATAAATAAAAAATTTAAAAAAAAGAAAAAAAAAGGAAAAGCTCCCTGTTCTGGAAAATTGAACTTTGATATTACTTCCACTAGACTGAGGAATTGCGCGCTTGTTTAACACAGGGACTAACTTATTGGTTAAGTGGTGGGATGTTAACGTCGGGTGTAACCAGCCCTGTTCATCCCACCACCACGGCCATCTCCACGAGAAAATCCTCCACGCCCACCACCACGATGCATGCCTGGACCACCACGCATCATACCAGGGGCACCACGCCCACCGCCCATTCCACTGTTGGGGCGTCCTCCTCCTAGCATGGTATCTCCACCCGAACCCATTCGAGTGCCATCCATGGAACGAACTTTTGTTTTCTTTTCTTCCACATTCAATTTTTGCCCTGTCTCATCTGGGTAGTAAATAGGCTGGAAAATAAAATTAAATAACCATCATGGATATTTAATGTGACATGTATGCAGAATAATAGTGATATACTTACTCGGCTATTTAGTACTGCTTGTACAGTATTTGCACTCTCAAATACAATAAAACCATAGTTGGGAACTCTGTTACCAGGCATGTTCTTAGAATTGTGTTTGCTATGTATACGCAAATCAATTATTGGTCCATACTTGCTGAATAATTCCTGAAAACAGAAGACAAAGTTGCAGGGTAAGCAAGTATTCCTTTTAAGACTGTCTCCAACTGATATCTTCCCACGTAATAACAATTTCCACATGAGAAGATGCCAGTTCAAACTTTAACAAGATGATTTCAGAAAATTTCCTTCAAGTATATCCTTTATGACTGGCTGACATTTGAAAGGTTCATAACCACAATAGACCAAGTTCATTTTTTAAGAAAATTGTATTCATGTGATTAAATGGTAATTATATGCTTTTATAAAACACCATTTTCTGTTCCCTGCTATAGTGAACTGTGTTCTTAGTTTTCATATCGGCACAGTGTTCTCTATAATTTTATTACTTCACTTATTATTTGTAGAAAATTGAGAAGTTCAATTTCTCAAATTCATGGACTTGGGTCTGATCTGGTTGTGAACTCCTCATATGGAACAGCCTACCATCCAAAAGTGTTCAATGTTTAGAAAATCAGATTAACTCAATTACTGACAATTCACAACTTTAAACTGATATCACAAAAATATATATACAATGTGTAAGTCACGGTCACACAAACAGCTTGTTGAACCAGAAAAGAAAAACAATAACAATAGTACGTATTATCATCATCATGTTGTACATAGGCAATCTCAAATTTTATGCTAGGAATGAAGCGAATCTCTCTCACATACTGTCAGAGCAATCTGACATAATTCGCATTGACATACCAAGGGTACCCAAAAATAACCATAATAGCTCTGCTGTGAGCGTGCCTTGTGCAGTATGAAATTATCCTGCTAAGAGCATGCAATGCAACACATTGCAGTTCAGTTGCACCTAGGTACATTGACCTAGCTTGTTCTGTTCGTCTGCAGTTATAGTTTTCGCAAGCGCTGTTCTGCCCGAATTATGTTTTTTGGGGGATGGCAAGTTAATGTGAACAAAATGCAACTGTGAAATTTTGTTTGATTTTTTTTGGAAAAAATGCTGCTGAAACCGTGTTAATGTTGAAGAATGCTTACAAAGACAACGCTATGGGAAAAATTCAAGAGTACAATTGGTTCGCACGTTTTAAAAATGGTGACATGTCATTTGATGACAAACCTCATTCTGGACGTCCTTCAACTGCCCGAATCGACAAAAATGTTGACAAAATTCGAGAGCTTTTACACACAGATTGTTGACAGGCAATTGGACAACTGCCAGAGATTAGTGGGATATCTTGGAGCTTGGTTCAGCGAATTTTAACAGATGATTTGGGCATGAAAAGGATTGCTGCCAAGTTTGTTCTTCAGGTTTTGACATTCAAAAAGGAAATCGAGTTGAAACATTTTGTGCATTGAAACCACAATTTGAAACTGATCCAGATTTTCTGACAAAACTAATTACTGGAGATGCATCATGGTGCTATGGTTACGACCCAGAAACAAAACAACAGTCAAGCCAATGGAAGACAACCTCGTCAAAAGAAATGTCGTCAAGTAAATCAAACATCAAAACAATGTTGATTTGCATTTTTTGATGCCAAGGGCGTAGTTCATGCAGAGTTTGTTCCCCCAAATCAGACTGTAAACCAAAAATTTTATTTGGAAGTCTGAAGAAAATTGCACAACAGTGTTTGACAAAAAAGATCTGATTAGTGGCAGACAGGAGGGTGGTTCTTCCATCACGGCAACGCACCTGCACACACAGCCATCACAGTTCGGCAATTTTTGACTAAAAATAACATGGTACCACTGCCCCACGCAACCATACTCACCTGATTTTGCTCCATGCAACATTTTCTTGTTCCCACTTATGAAAAAAAGCATGAAAGGACAACGGTTTGACAACATTGAAGAGGTCAAGGAGAGAAAAAAAACAAGGGAGGGGCTATCAGCCATTACTAAAGATGATTTCAAATAATGTTTTGAACAGTGGAAGTGCCGCTGGGACAAATGTATTAGTCAATGGAGAGTATTTTGAAAGAAATAAGGTTGTATTGTAAGAAATTTGAAAATATACATCTTTAAAAAAAAAAAATTCCTGTTATTTTAGGGTACCGCCTCGTATGCATGAAATTTGTGATTGACAAAAGTGCCAAAGTTAACTTAAAAAGAGGCAATGTGGTAACGACAAGAGTATTCACATTAATGTGCACATTGTGTTTCAAGATCTAGACTCAGGTAAATCATACAAATACGTACGCATTTAAGAAAATGGAAGGAGAAAATTCGTAAGTATTATTACAGAAGAGTAACACCCCTCTTGCAGCCTGCTTCAAACTTAAAGAATTAACTCAGATTTTAGAAGAACCAAGAATCAGAATTAAGAACAGAGAGTGTGGCTGTGCATCTATACCACTGCATCTTACAACTGGTTGACTGAATTGAGGAAAAAAACAAAAACAACTAATGTACCTACACTTTATATTGCATGCAATGAAGGAGGGAGAGGATCAGCCTCCTCGCAGAATGCAACAGTCAGAGAAGACAAAAAATGAGGTTAGTCATGTAAATCCACTTATGAGGTGGTTGATAAATCTGACAGAAAAAATGGGAAAACAGAATATTGCAAGTAGCAAATCACTGCCCCCTCCCCTGCTGCCCCTGGTGTGAGTCTGTTACAGAAATCATGGAGAGAGAAAGCACTCCATAGGCAACAGGGATTATAAACAAAAATACAATTTACGTCTAAAGCAAGCAATAAAAGCATTTATTTTAACTTGGTGTGAATAAGCTTTTACTTTTACTAGGAAGTAAAGGTTGGGAAAACAAGTAAATATTTGTTGGAAAACACTGAACAAAAGTACACATGCGTTTCAATCAAAGGGATCTGTGAGGATAGGTTTCTTGCCATGTTACCAACACTGTAAAAAAAAAAAGTCTTTGACAAAGTTGCAAACGACTAATTCAGACCTTGAAATCCCTCAGAATACTAGGGAAATTGCTCGAATATATCCAAGAGTATTGGCAGAACTTACCAGATGAGCATTCGCAATCAACTCTCAACATCAAGGCTTGTTACAAGTATATTTTGAAGATTCGTCTTAGGTCTTAAGATTGGTCAACTACTATACTTGAGCAACGTTGGAGATGGACTGAAGCAGTAGTCCTGCTGCCACAAAGTTATTTGTTAACCCAATAAAATCCTGCCAGGTACCACAATCTCACCATAAAATGGTACATGAGTGGTTGGAAACATGGCTACTTTCTTTCAACTTTAGCAAGTGCAAAATTTTAGATCTCAGGAATAATTCACAGTACAATTACACCATTGAACATCATTCCCTCGACATAACATTGCAACAGAATGATATTGTAGTTTTTATATCTCACGATTCAGCCTTAGTCACTAAACAGGCCAACAGAATAACGTAATTAGAAAAGCTTTTTGCACCCTGCAAACATCTGCAGTGAAGAAATATTCAAAAGATCCACATAACATTAATTGAAGAACTGATTGGAGAACAAAGTTCATTTGCAAAATACATATGGATCTCCAATATGTAGTTGAACAAGGTGTCACAAAAATGACTTAAATTTAGGATTTTCAAAAATTCAGAGTAAATGTTGGAAATAGGGCACTAAGCACATGACACCTTTGTTAAGAGAGTGTTTCACTGTATTCTGGCAGAAACGTAAAGAAAAATTTTGGAGCCTCTTTATTGAGAAAATTTTGAAAATGGCACTGGATATAAAATTTCAAAGAATTCATTTTAAATTTATTTCAGATGGATCAACAACTGGATGTTAAAAAAAAATTAAGGGACCCAACCACATGTAATTCTGTTAAAATCTCCCAATTGATTTTACAGCATGTACACATGTATTCGAGAAAGTAAAAAGCCACAACTGAGACAATAATATTGATTATAGAAGTGAAAGACAATCTTCAACTTGCAGGAATGAGATTAAAAGAAGACAAACTTTTATATCCCAAATCAATTAATATATTGATCGTAAGTTTCTTCAAATATGATAAACTTGAAAATTTTATTCCAACAAAACTCAATAATTCCGAAATAGCTCGAGTATATCTTTGCTAAAATAAGAGAAATTCAATTCTGACGTGAAACCCTAAAAGCAATTTTATCCATGGCAACTATGTAAACTAGTTGCTTACAGTAAAAAACGTGATTCTGTTCACTAGTGAATTAAAATATTTCAATCCAATGCTAACAGTGGTTCAATTTATATACAGGTGTCTCACAATAAAAGTTCTAGAGCATGTAGGGGAGTTGAAGTTAATCACCTCTTGCCAAATAAATTGTGGTAGGAAATTTCATATAATACGTAACCATATGTGACATTTGTTCCTGGATATTAGGCAACTCATCATGATTAGTGTTTGGAAATATCTCTGATGAAGCAAGAACAACATGCAAAACACTTGTGCATAAAGAGTTGCTTACTAATGAGGGCATATGATTAAGCTATGTAGTCGAACTTCATTACATGAAATTGCCCACATGTTCATTACGAAAAAGTGATCATTCACTCCTCCAGGCAGAAGCCCTAGATGTACTCTAAGATATCATCTGTATAAATGTAATGGTTCCATTTGTTTTCATTGTAATCGTTCCATATCTTTAACTAACTTCTCACCAAACAATGTTCCGTTTCAGCATCCACTATCCATATAAAAAATTGCGTTTTAATCTTTCCTGATTTCTATTACATGCATGACAATGAAAATAGTATGCCTCTTAAACACAGGAAAGATTTCATTCACTAGTAAACGTTAAGTTTCTTATTTATCAATTAAATTTTTTTACTTTCTTGCACTAGAAATTACTAATTTTGTTTACCCTCAAATCATCTTCAGTGGCTTGATGAGGAAGGTTGCCCATGAACAGTTGTTGAGTGTCTGCATACTGCTGGGTAACATTTCCCATTCGCCGATTATGACCATCTCCACCGGCAGTGCCTGTTGAAACCAAGATCCGTTCACAACCAAGAAAATACAGTAGAATACACACAAGTTCTAAATATGCAATCTTCTGACCACGTAACTGACTAAAATTGCCACCTAAAATTACTACACAAGAGAATGTTTAAAGTTTTAACCAACTGAGATCATAAGTCAGTTATCTTAACTGTAATTTTACACACAGGAAAGTAAACTAGTGGTGGTACAGAAAGGCAAGACATCCTTGTACTAGTTAGTTTTCTAATTTCATTGCTCTGGGCTAGCTTTTCATCTTCTTGCCAGCTGCCCTCAATCGCTACTCAAACTATATTTTTTTATTTTCTCAATGTTTCAGTTTCGTAACAGTAGAACAGACATGGCTTTTATGTCATCTTATAATGTGCATTTAGCACTATTCATAGAAATCATGTAAAGGAAAAATTTGGAGCCAATTTTGAGAAAATGTTTGAGAATTTCTGAAAATGCAAAAATTTTAAGATCATTTTAACAGTAAACTTCTGAGTTTTTACAAAACTTTATGAG